GGCAAAGACATCCCTGAACTCCTTTAGTAGTGCGATCAGCTGGTTTCGTAGCTCGACTTTCAGATCTTTCCCGACCTTAGTGGTCTGTTCCTTTGTTTCTCCGATTTGTATTTCCATTAGCTCCCCGTGGGGTTCGAGATCATTATTCCTTGGCCTTTTCTCGCTCATCATTGGCTTATTTCCCTCCCTAACTTCGGCCCGTTGGTTGGTTTTTACAGCGATTTGATAACAAGTCCTTGACAGCTTCTGATCACCTCGAGCTTCTCCAACTTGGTCTCCGACTGGGAACTTTAGCTTCATATGGTAGGTCGATACTACCGCCCGGAATACGTTAAGTGTTGGCCTCTCCAGAATCACATTGTAAGCTGACTCGACATCAACCACCACGAATCTCACCATTTTCACCTTCCGCAAGTCACCTTCCCCTAGAACGACAGCGAGCATGGTTTCGCCTAGAGGGGCGACCTCTGACCCGTTGAAACCGAATAGTGAGGTATGAAGGGGTGTGAGTTGTATGTCGAGTTCCATCCTTTTGAGACAATCGTAAAAAATCACATTTACTGAACTCCCAGTATCGACGAACACTCTCTGCACTTCATATCCCGAGATTTGGGCTGTTATCATCAATGCGTCGTTTTGAGGCCTCTCAACTTCTCCCGCATCTGCCGGGCCGAAATTTATTATCGGCCCATTCTCATCGACATGTTGTATCTGGGATTTTCCATGACGCCCTCGGGCATACGCCTTCCTTGCTCGATTCGAGTCCCCATCAGTTGATCCTCCAAATATCATATGTATGGTTCCCCTTTTTTGTGGGAGCTCCTCTTTCTCTGGCGTTCTCGCCCTCTTGCGAGGGCTTCTGCTCCTTTCTCTCCTTCTGCTCGACTTTTCCCGGTCCTTATATATGAATTCTTTCAAGTGTCCTGCCTTAATCAGCCTTTCAATTTCGTCCTTAAGGTGCCTGCAGTCGTCAGTATTGTGACCGTAGTCTTTGTGGAATCGACAGTATAGATTACTTTTTGGTCTTGTTGGTCCGTCTTTTCTCGTCTTGGGCCATCTGACAACATTGTCATGAATCTCTTTTTCCATCACCTCCAGGATTCGCGCTTGAGGGGCCGACAAAGGGGTGTATTGAGTCGGCCTCCAACCCCTAGGTCGCCCCTCTCTCTCTGCTCGCGGAGACCCCTTTCTCTCCCCAGCCGAGGAAATTCTCTTCTCCCTTCTTTCATCCCGAGGGTCAGTTCTACCTTCTTTAGTCGTTCGCAAGAAATCGATCTCCGCCTCCTCGACATTCATATACTTCGCGCATCTCCCCAGCACTTCGTCGAACGTTCTACCCGGGCGCTTTGCCAGAGAGTTCCTGCACAAGCCCGGTAGCAACCCTCGTGTCAAGCCTCCTGCCTTTATCTCCTCCGACGCCCTGGGCACCTCGACACATGCTCGCGTATATCTCGCCACATAATCTCGTAGCGACTCACCTTCCTTCTGCTGGATGCCCATTAAGGTCAGATACGATTTCTCCTGCGGCCTAACACTTGCAAATTGATTGAGAAAGCTCGCACTGAATCCTTCAAAATCCTTGATGGCTCCCGCTGGTAGTTGGTGAAACCAATCTTGTGTAGATACCCGTAAAGTGGTTAGGAAAGCTCGACATTGCACGGGGTCATTATAACGATGCAAAACCGCCATATTCTCGAAACTCCTCATGTGACGCGATGGATCGGTCGACCCGTC